GTCTGGTTGCCAGGATGTGGAGCCTCCTTTGCCAGCTCAGCCCTGTGGTGACAGGGGAAGCACAGGCTCCCAGGCAGTAGACCAGGCCTCTCCCAGCCCAGGGCTCATGTGGGTATGGGGACAGGGTCATGCTGGTTCTAGTGACTGCCAGGACCTGCCCCTCGCCTTGGACTCAGGGAACCCTGGGCCAAGAGAGTCCGTGCCTCCAGGCTAGGCCCTGTCATCCCAGGGAGCCTTCCCAGGCCGGATGGGTAACCTCCCTGCCTTTTAAGGACAGGCTCTGTCTCCCCAGGGCCCCGGGAGCCGCAGGGCGGCTGCATTCTTCTCCCTTCCCCTGGGACTCCAGTTGGGCCAGGAGTTGAGCGCTGGCCGCTGAGCAGCCGGTTCCCAGGCCTGGAGGGCGAGGCTGGGCCTGGGGGGAGTTGGCTCTGCTGGGCGTTCTGGGTGGGGCACTGTCCTGCCACTAGATTCACTGGATTCCCAGGAGGTCGGCGCCCTTTCTCTGCCTGGACCCGTGGGCAGATTCTCAGCACGGCCTCCTGGACCTGCCTGGCTGTGACAGGCAGAGGCATGGTTGGCACGCTGTGACCTGACTCCACAGTCCGCAGGTCCTGCCAGCCCTTAAGTGGGCACCTCCTCTCTCGAGACCAGCTTTATCCAGGATTCTGCCCCTTCCAGGCCTGGCTATGGCAGTGGCAGTGGCAAGGGCCCACACAGGAAATTAAGGGCTTTTTTTTTTTTGAGACATCCCTCCCTGCATTTGGGTAGAAGGAGTTTGTCCCATTTTGTAGATGGGGAAAATGGAGGCATGGAGAAGGTAAGGGATTTGAGTGGTCAGAGGAAGGAAACAATGGCCTGGGGAGTCCCTATCTTGTCACCCCAAATGTCAGGAGCGTCATCTGCCGTCAACCTCGATAACAGCAGGTGCATCCTTCCTTGTTCACAGCCGTTCCCTGCTCCTGCCACTGGAACTGTCACAAGTGACTGATGGAGTCACCGGCATTTACCCCTGCTCTCCCTAGCATCTCCCCCGCATTCTCACCTGATCCTTACAGCAGCCCTCTGAGGAAGAGATTCATTCTCCCCACTTATGGATGGGGAAACTGAGGCCTGGAGAGTTGAATGATTTAAAAATCTCAAGGTTGCATGTTTTATAAGGAATGGAGACTAGATTACAGCTGGGCACCCTTGACACTAGGCCCTCCTGCCTATTCCCATCGACAGGTGTGTGTGTGGGGGGGTAGGGGGGCGTGCGTGCTCACTCCTGGGCTCCTTCCACTGCCTGCCTGCATGTTCAGACTGCCCGCCTGTTACCCTAACAGCCCCCTAGCAGTGTAGGCATCGCCTCCACAGCATGTCTGAAAGGGTCTCCCAGTTCCTACCTGCACACCGTCAGAGACTGGGTGCTGACTCCCCTAGAACCAGCCTGGCCCGTGTGGGGCCAGCTGTGACTGAGCTGTAATTGACCTCTCCTGGTCCCAGCCCTACTCCCTGTGGGCATACAGGACAGCTCCCTCTGCCTGCCCTGAGGCTCTTACTTTCCAGGCTATACAACCCCACTTTCAGCTCATTCCACCCATAGCTGGTGAAGTCCTCACCATGTCAGGAACTTGTTGATAATTGCAGGTTTTGTTTTGGGGTCTCCTCCCTCCTTGAAATAATGGGGAATTTGCTAAACTTCTGTGTCACTAACATTTTAAGAGAAAAAAGGGCGGGGTTGAAAAACAGCTCGTGGGTTGCTGGAAGGCTATCAGATAAGGCTGTGGCCCAGGAGCTGGGACAAGGTCTCCTTGTTCCTGCTCCCTGGCCGCACAATGAGCTGCTGTTGGGACCTGGCTGTATCTCCAGCAGCAGCTCTGCCTCTGCCCCTGCCCGTGGTGTGCCCACGTTTCCTGGGCTCCTGGGAGGGGTGCCCTGCCCCAGCCAGTCTCTTTAGCTCTTTCTCCCAGACCTGGAAGGAGTGGGTTCCAGTGAGCAGCTCAGCTGGCTGTGGGCCTTTCTCTGCCCATCACCTGTGGGGAGATGAGAAGACGAACCTTGTGTTGATGGAGTTAGTCTTGGACTCTGCTGAATGCAGTCCACATCACACGCGGCCTTTGCCACCTGCCACCGTGCAGTCATGGGCGAGCCACCTGGCCTTCCTGAGGTGTGGAACCTTGATCCTGATGGGTTGTTAGGAGAATTAATTAGGTGAGGAGACAGGTGGGACGTGGTGTGGAGTGGGGCTCAGCCACATGGCCTGAGTGTGAGCGCTTGTCCGCTGGAGGGACTAGGGACAGCGTGGTGGTGGTGGCTTTTGGCCTGGGCTTTGAAAATGGAGAACGGTTTTTGTGAGGCAGAGAAGGTTGGGGGAGGTAGTACGGGTTCGGGAGAAACATGGTCATGGATCCCAGAGCAGAGGAAGTTAGGGACCAGCTAGGAGGAGCATCTTTCCAGGGTGGGTTGTGAGAGCAAGTGCAGAGGGGTCATTCCAGGGCGGGTTCAACACCAGGTGGAAGTGTGGCGACTTGATTATCTATAGGCCTTGAGGGGACTGCAGGTAGATGGGAGTGATGCCAGTTGGGTAGAGGGGTCTGGTCAGAGGGTGCTGCTGTGGCCTAGAAACGCTGGGGAGATGAGGAGGATCAGGGCTGCCCAGCTGCAGCCAGGATGCATGAACGAGAGTTCACGCAGGAACCTCCCCCTGAGGCCAGGGCCAGCTGGGGCATGTTTGTGGGACAGGATGTTGGGGAAGGAAAAGTGGGTATTGCAGCTCCAGGCCCCAGGTTCTGGCCACTTTGAGGTCAAGTCTGGGCCTGCTGGGCTCCTGGCCTGTCAAACCAGGGCCCTTCGGTCTCCTGGGCAGGCGCAGTCCACTGAACTGTGCCTCCCTCCCCTCTCTGCAGCCCACCAGCCCCTCTGTTTGCACCTCATGGGTCCCTACTGCACCTGCCCTGGTTCCCAGCGTCTTTACCCGTCAGGGTTTCTGTGCTGGGCCAGAAAGCAGCCCGATCCCGATCTGCAGGCTGGGTTTCCAGCCCTGCATGGCAGGCCCAGGGCCTGTGGGTCCCTGCCGTTCCTGGCCTGGTGACTTCCCCAAGCATCTGAGGCAGGTCTTCTCTTGCACTGGCCATGAAGCCCCATGAGGAAGAGCAGCCCTGTGTGGAATATTGACTGGGCATAACAGACCCACCCAAGGCATAACAGACCCACCCAAGGCATAACAGACCCACCCAAGGCATTGGTCAGGAGTGTGACGGGGGAGCAGGTGGAGGGCTTGTCAAAGGCAGCAGCCTGTCGGCACCTAGCACTGGGTGACGTGTTCAGCCATAGCGCATGTGTGTGAACCACTGCCTCCCAGAGAGGGCGCTGGAAGAGCAGAGGCACCCCAGCTGGGATGCTGGTGGGCTGGGCCTCACGGAAAGTTCCACACGGGGGCCCTGTGGAGGTTCGTGTGTTTCTAACTTGATTTCAGTCTGCCTCACAGCCTCCCTGTGGTCTGTCCATTCCCTTGGAGCTTTCAGAAGCTCTGCCCGAGGACATCAATATGGCGCAAGTGACCTGAGCCCTGCCATGTGCCAGCTTCATGCTGGGCCTGGGGGAGCAGGTGCAGGGAGGCTGACTGCCTCTTGGGTTGGGCTGTGGGGTCCCCAAGGGCTGGGGTCCCAGTTCCAGCTCTCATTCCCATGCCTCGCCCAGCACAGGACTCCATGTCAGGGTAGGCTGCTGCCATGGTGACGTGGAGTTTGGGGGTGGAGGGTGGCCTCTGCCAGCCTGTGAGTCCCTGTGAGCAGGACCCGTCCGCTATTCTCTGGATTCCTGATCGCACACATAGTAGCCTCCGCCTCCCTTACTCCAGCTGGTCATGGAAGTAGGTTACAGGTGTGTGTCCGGCAGGGAAGTGTGTGGTGACCCTGCCAGGCCTCACTGACATGAGGGCAGGGAGAGATTGATGGATTGGAGGCTAGGAGCTGAGAGGGAGAGGGATTGGGAGATCTGGGTGAGCAAAGCCCACAGAGGGTTTTGTGCCAATGCCGGGGGTCTGGGCCGTGGACGTGAAGAGGGGCAAGGCCTGCTCAGCTTCCACGCCAGAGGTGGTCTTATCAGGCTTGGCTGGCTCTCCAGCTTTTCCTGTGCCCAGCCGTGGGAGGCAGCTCCCACGGGCACTGCTGTGTGCGGTGGCTCTGAAGAGGGACTTGCACAGCTCTGAGGCAGACTCCACTGGTGCAGGTGCCATCTGAGGCTCTTTCCATGGCCTGTGCTGAGAAACCGAGGCTCAGGGAAGGGTAGTGGCTTGTCCAGGGCCACATAGCAGGCGAGAAGTGAGGCCAGATCTGTCAGCCAGTCCAGGTCCAGGCTCCACTTCGGCACCAGGTGGCATCCACTACCTCCGCTCGTTGTGTCTGTGTTGGGCCCACTGTCTCAGGCCTGGGCCCCCAAGCCCCGGCATGTGGACCTGTCTGGATTTTGGCATTTTGAGCCTCACTGCCCTCATCTATAAAATGGGTACAGCAGAGGTCCCTGTGACTCTCCTGCCTCGAGTGGGGTGGCATATGAGAAAGGCTCGGTTGACAGTAACATTCTGGACAAATGGGTGACTGCTCTGGTCTTGGATGGGGACCAGGGCGGAGGGGATGGGATGGGGTGGGGAAGGCCACCTGGGTGAGCTCAGCTCTTGTATGTGGGTCTCAGAGTCTGCTTGGGAGCCAGGCAGACCCTGGCCTGCACTCAGTGCTGACTTTCAGCTCCTGATTGGTTCATCCTCAGCCACTTGCTCCCTTAGAGGCTGAGCCAGCCACACAGCGTCCTGCAGTGGGCAAAGGGACCGATACTGGGTCTCTGACTCCTGCACAGACGTACCCCTCCCCCAAGTCTGCCTTTAGAGGACAAGGACTTGGGGGTTGATCAAGGAGTGACTGCCTCCCACTGGGGGGTCTGGGCAGGCTTCCTGGAGGAGAGGGGACAGGGCAGGGGAGGGGAGTGACAGGCCCAGCCTGACACACCTGCTGCCCACCCCCCAGGTCCCATCTGATGCCCAGGGTGAAGGAGTCTCGCTCCCACGAGTCCCTGCTCAGCCCCAGCAGCGCGGTGGAGGCGCTGGACCTCAGCATGGAGGAGGAGGTGGTCATCAAGCCTGTGCACAGCAGCATCCTGGGCCAGGACTACTGCTTCGAGGTGGGTCCGCTGGGGCAGGTAGGCTCTGGTCACATCTCCGAGCCAGGCCGGTCTCCAGACCCTTCCTAGAGTCCTCAGAGGCCTCAGCTTTGGGCAGTGGCTGGAAACTGTCCATTGTTTTTGGCTCCTAAGAGACCAGGTAGAGCTTGGAGATGGGGGCTTCGTTCCTTCTCTGTGGGCTCCTTGGAGACAGACCAGCACTATTCTCCATGCTGGTGGGGGCAAGAGCTCCCGGCAGTAAAAGGGGGTAAAAGTCCATGTAGAATTGCTTAAGCTCCAGGGCCTGTGCCTGAAGCCTGCTCACCCTCCTTAGAAACCCCCTAAATGGTAGAGAGCACCCTCTTTTCTGGGCCAGTCTCCCCCTTCTATAAAGACATCAGAATCTTTTGTGCCCCAGCATTTGGTGATGCAAGGTTTAAGAGCAAGCAGAGGGCAGCAACCCTACCTGGCAGGGCTGTACCTGGGGATCACCTGTCCAGTCTCTCACAGTAGATGGGGAATCTGAGGCCAGAGAGGCAAGATGTTAGAGGTCACACCACAAGTCTGAGGCCACGCCAGAACCGGGGTGATGAATGTCGTAGGTGTTCCTGGGAGTTCCTGACTGCTTCTCTCATCAATCAGATTCCCTGCCCACCTCACCCTCCACTCCCACCCACAAGGAGCTTACATAATTAGGGAGCTCTCTGATGGAGGGGTGAGCCTGGTAATGAAAGTCAGCCATTCGGGGACTCGTGGCAACCTCCTGGCAACCCAGCCCCAGGGAAAGAGTGGAATGTGCCTGGCATCTGCGCCACCCCTTGTGCCCATTGTTTCTGCATCAAGACTCCTGGTCCAGCTGGGCTCCATCTGGGCTCCGGCTTCTTTGCCTGGGACAGGCTGACGGTGCCGGGGGACTGGTCCACAGTGGGTGCTACGGCTTGTGCCGGCCCTTGAGTGGCTGGATAAGGAGTCTGGTTCCCTTCTGTCGAGCCCATAGGATGATGCTGGGGGCAGTGGAAGAGGAGGAGCTGCTTGGGCTGGGCTTCCTCCCCGGTGGGGATTGGAGGAGGAGCGAGAGTCCGATGGCGGGGGAGGGTACGGGTTCCAGGCAGGAGGACCCCAGGCCCAGCACACCTGGACAGCCCGGTTTTCATTTCTCCAGTCTGGCCCCTAAAAATGTTAAGTTTCTGTGGCCATCGTTGTTACTGTCACTCGGCAAAAGATAACCGTCAGCAAGTGTCAGCTGAGGACGGAGGCGATCCTTGTGCCTACCCAGGGTGTGTCCTTGGTGCCCGTGGCTCCACTTAGAGAGGGAGCAGGTACCCCGTGCCTTTTCTCTTCCCATCCTCGGAGAGTGAGGTTAGAGTCAGAAAGATACTTTCCCGTGGACAAAGGATGTCGAGGAACGGGGAGAGGAGCCAGGGCCAGGAGCCAGATGGTCAGGGCTGGGCCACCCTGTCACCCACTTGGGACAGTGATCTCACGGCACCACCTGCCAATGGGAAATAGGCCATTCTGAGCCTCACTCTGCCCCCTCCCAAGGCAGTGCTGCAGACCTGGTGGCTCAAGCCCCAGACCCCAGAGGTCTTCTGTCCTGCCCTGTCCCTCGCTGTGTTCCCCCCTGTGACACTGTCCTATTCGGCCCCACAGGTGACAACATCGTCAGGAAGCAAGTGCTTCTCCTGCCGGTCAGCAGCCGAGCGGGATAAGTGGATGGAGAACCTGCGGCGAGCAGTGCACCCCAACAAGGTAGGCTGCGTCCCCTCTCACCAAAGCCCGGGGATTGCGGTTAGACCCGGAGCAGCGCATACTCTGACACCAGGGAGCATAGTGGGGTCTCTGGGGTGGGCTGGGTGGGGGCAGGGCAGCCTGTGGGGGTGGGGCCTGAGTGGGCAGTAGGGTTGGGCCCTGGAACAGGGGTTCGAGGTAGCCAAGCCGACTCAGGTGCTGTGGGCCTCTGTCCTCGAAGCTACACCACGGAGGCTGGGCCAGAGAACTGAGAATGGGCTGTTAGGGAGTTGGGTGCTGGTGACCTTCTGCCTGGACCTCTTGTCTCTCCTCCCCTGGCCGATTCCTGGCCACCCACCCAATTCCAGCTCAGACCTCTGTCCCATCCTCCAGTGAGCACCGCTGGCCCAGCCTGACGCCCTGCTCTGTGTTCCCACTACCCTGGGCTTCCCCCATCAGGTTCATGGGCCCCAACTCTAATCACCTGCTTCTGTGTCTGCCCCCGTGGCTGACCGGGCCTGGGCTGAGCCTGGTCACCATAACATCACTGCAGAGGGGCCTTAGCAGTGGTCCCCTCTTAAGTGACTTACAGACCAGCAAACTAGAAGGCCTGATACGTAGCACAGTGGCCTGCGGTGCCAAGCACTGTGCTAACCTCTTACTTGATCTCTCACCATTTGTTCCTATTTTATGGGAAAGGGAACTGAGTCTTAGATTAAGTCACCTGCCCAAGGTCAGTGAGCTTGTTTGAGGCAGAGCAGAGATCCAGCCTCGTGGCCACCAGACTCCAGAGTTGTCCCGCCCCCCGCCCCATCCTGTCAGTGCCTGGCCCGTCCCCACACCTTCCAGGGCTCTCCTGGATCTGAGAGCTCCCCCAGCTCTGGCCAGGCGGTGGGCAGGTGGCCGGCCCCTCAGTGACCACGGCTCACCTTGTGCACATGCAGGACAACAGCCGGCGTGTGGAGCACATCCTGAAGCTGTGGGTGATCGAGGCCAAGGACCTGCCGGCCAAGAAGAAGTACCTGTGCGAGCTGTGCCTGGACGATGTGCTCTACGCCCGCACCACGGGCAAGCTCAAGACGGACAACGTCTTCTGGGGCGAGCACTTTGAGTTCCACAACCTGCCGCCCCTGCGCACCGTCACCGTCCACCTGTACCGGGAGACCGACAAGAAGAAGAAGAAGGAGCGCAACAGCTACCTGGGCCTGGTGAGCCTGCCCGCCGCCTCGGTGGCCGGGCGGCAGTTCGTGGAAAAGTGGTACCCAGTGATGACGCCCAACCCCAAGGGCGGCAAGGGCCCCGGACCCATGATCCGCATCAAGGCGCGCTACCAGACCATCAGCATCCTGCCCATGGAGATGTACAAGGAGTTTGCCGAGCACATCACCAACCACTACCTGGGGCTCTGCGCAGCCCTCGAGCCCATCCTGAGCGCCAAGACCAAGGAGGAGATGGCGTCGGCCCTGGTGCACATCCTCCAGAGCACGGGCAAGGTGAAGGTGCGTGTGACACGAGGTTACCTGCTGTTTCCTATGTCCAATGGATTTCAGCCCTGTCGGGGGCACTGACCAGGTGGTCCCCCTGAACCCAAGCGTGGTGTCGTGGAGTGAGGGGTTTCGTTCTTCTGCCCCCACCGCTGCGGCAGATGTGGAGCTGAGGGACGGGATGGCAGCTTGTAGTGAGGAAGTGAGCAGTGACTTTTCAGTCTGTCGTGGACTCCAAGGGCTTCTCCCTGCCACCCCTTCTCCCCTCAGTGCAGCAGGAGGAACGGGCTCTGGGAAGCAGGAGGCCTGGGCCAGGTCTGGCCTGGGAGCTGTGGCCTTGGACAGGTCACTTTCCTGTTCTGTGCTGGCTCCCTCATTGGGTCCTCGCTCTACAGAGCTCTTCCTCACCCGGCCTGGGCTGGGTACCTCTCCATGAGCCCAGGAAGACCCGGGCGGAGGAGCTGGGGTCCTGCCTCCATGTTCCGAGGAGATCCCAGAGGTCAGCTAAGGGTCAGGAAGGGCTCCTCAGATTATGTGGTCCCCAGAGGCAGCGGGAGCTACTTAAACATCCCCCCCTCCCCGACCCCCCCATCATCCCTCCTTTGGCCAGCAGGGCCTCCTGGGCCGCAAGCTCAGTTCTGTATTTGAGGGGCCATGTGTGATGTCAGAGAGGTTGCCAAAGTTGTGCGCACCAGAAACCCTGGCCCACGCTGGCCACCTTGTAGCCTCTTTGCTGGTGGCCCCTGCCCTGCCCTTCACCCTCCCCTGGGCCTCTGACTCCCTGCCTGTCCTCTTCCCTCCCCCAAGTCACGAGGCTGGCTGTGGGTGGGAGGAGGGTCTCTGGAGGAAGGGAGCTCCCATCTGGGCCGTGGCAGCAGGTTCACTCTCCAGCCTCCCTGCAGGCCTGGGGAGATGTGCGCCAGGCTGCCTCCTGGGGTCTGCCCATGACCCTGCCTGGGGGCCCAGCAGGCTCGTCTACTTAACAGCTGCCCTCAGCAGTGAGGAACTGCTGCCCTGGGTTTGCCAGGTGGGCAGTGGTGCCACCACCTTCCCAACGAAGCTAAATTCCCTTCTCTCCCCAGGTGAGCACTGGCTCACTGCCCCCGAGGCAGCGGGCAGCCTCTGCCTCTCTCCTCCTCTGCCGCACCACTCAAGGCGAGCCATGTCTGGTGTGGGAGACTCATCAGAGTCATGGGTAGATGGTGGAGAGGGTGCCCGTCTGTCCTCTCTGGCGTTGATGGTGATGGGGGGGGGTGGGAGTTCCCTGGTCACCCAGGCCTGCTCAGGGCCAAGCAGGGATTTGAGTCCAGCTGGCTTGGCCATGGGGCAGGAAGCTCGTGTCCCTGTGGCATGCTCTTGCCCAGGCCTGCCTTCCCCGGTCCCAAGACCCAGCTGTGATGTCACCAGGCGGCCCTGCCCTCCGGCAGCCCCCGAGGTGGACAGTGGAGCAGCCTTGGGAAGCAGGGGCTTCTGGCTGCTGCCCAGGCAGCAAGTGTGGAACCCGAGGGTCCTCCCTACTGGCTGGCCCAGGCCCTCCCTCCTCACTGCCTGCCTCCCCAGGACTTCCTGACTGACCTGATGATGTCAGAGGTGGACCGCTGTGGGGACAACGAGCACCTCATCTTCCGAGAGAACACGCTGGCCACCAAGGCCATCGAGGAGTACCTCAAGTTGGTGGGCCAGAAGTATCTGCAGGACGCGCTAGGTAGGGAGGGTTTGGGCCGGCGTGGGCAGACGGTGGGACATGCCCACCAGGTCCTCACCGCCCCTCTCTGCCCTCCCGGTCACAGGCGAGTTCATCAAAGCGCTGTATGAGTCGGACGAGAACTGCGAGGTGGACCCGAGCAAGTGCTCGGCCTCTGACCTCCCCGAGCACCAGGGCAACCTGAAGATGTGCTGTGAACTGGCCTTCTGCAAGATCATCAACTCCTACTGGTCAGTGCTGCCCCGCACCCCCTCCCTGGGCTCAGCTGCCCAGGCCTCCCCACCCATCGCGTGACCCGTGCTGTGTCAGTGCCTGCAGTGTGCCAGGTGCGGTGCGAGGCATGGTGTGCCGTCCTCATGCGTACGGCTCAGGGAGAGGCTGCTGCCTGTGCCTGACTTACAAACGAGAGCTGAGGCTCACCCAGGAGAGGGCAGGTGGACACGCCTTTGGCCTCACACAGCTTCAGAGAGGTGGCTCTGGGATGGGAACCCCTCTGCCTGACTCCGCAAGTCTTGGCCCTTTTTGGGTTCTCCGATGTGAGGGAGTGTTCCAGACCACGCAGGACACGGTGTGTGCCGCGTGGAGGGTTGGGAGCAGCGGCAGTCCACTGCACGTGTTCATTAGCGAGCGCCCCCTGTGCCTGGTGCTGTTGTAGGTGCTGAGGCTGCACAGGGAGCGAGACTGGCAAGGCCCAGCTCGGGCACCCCCCTGGGGTGGGTGGATGACTTAACCTGAGACCCCTCGTCTGTTGGTGCTCATGTCACAGGCTGGTGATTGGGCCTAGCTAGGGCTCGTGTGGTGCCTGGACTGTAGGGATGGAGAAGACAGGATGGGGGTCTAAGGAGAACGTAGTTCTGCAGCCCCGAGAGAAGGAGCGGGGCGTGCGGACGGGCTGTTCAGAGAGGACCACAGTCGGGGCCAGGATTGGTGCGTGAGCCACAGCCTACAGGGCACCTGCTTCCTCCCAGGTCGGTGTGGTGCCAGCTGACTGCAGGGTACAGCCTTGCTAATGGTGAGGCAGGCATAACTGTCCAGGGCAGGGACGTGCTGCCAGTGCCGAGCACGGGTTATTTTCACACTGCACGGCTGCTCAGACTTTCTCCTGTCACGGCACCAGCTCAGGACCTGCGTCCCCCTCCCCACCCCCAGCGATACCTGACTCCTCTCTTTGGTCACACTTCTTCCCTTTCTCCTTTAAGGCTTATGCCTGGCTCCCTCTGTGGCCTGCCTAGGTCAGCTCACCCCTCTTGGGCATCCTCTGTCCCAGCCCTGATCCCATCAGAGTAAATCTGATGTAAATCTGCTTCCTGCACGTGCTGGGAGCACCAGGCTGGTGGAGCCCCAGCTCAGGGCTGGGCACACCAAAGGGCTCCGTGATTGCTCAGCAGAGAGGCCTGCTAGGCGAGGGGATGGTGAGAACCAGCGGAGCCAGTGCCCGCCCTGCACCCCTCTTTGCTTCTGGGCTCACCTGGACCAGCCTGGCCCTTCGGGCTAGGTCACGTGACCCATGGCACTGAGGGGGCGGGGCAGTGACCTGGGAGCCTTGAACTCTGAGGGAACACACTTCCTGCCCTGGGCCAGGCTGTTTTCACTCGGCCCTGCTATTCCCAGGGCAGTGGGTGTGGCACTCAGGGAAACATATCGTGGACAATGATTTTCCATTTCCTCTTTCTGGTGTTTGTCAGAGACCCAGAGGCACCTCTCAGTTCTGGGTGCCATGGGTAGATGTCATCACTCAGTGCCTGGCCCTGCACCCCTTGCCCTTCCTGAGCACTCGCTCTGCCCGCCCTGTGCTGCCTCAGCTCCCCCAGCAACCCTGTCCGGTGGGTGATGGATAGGGGGATGGATGATAGAATGGTGATGGGCAGCAGGGCCAGCTCATAGCTATCAGGGTTGGAGCTCAGGATTCCATCAGACTGAGAACCAAGTCTCTGCTCTGCACCCACCTGTCCTGGCGCCCTGCCTGACCACCAGGCCCACTCTTGTCTATTCCTGCCCAGTGTCTTCCCACGGGAGCTGAAAGAGGTGTTTGCCTCGTGGCGGCAAGAGTGCAGCAGCCGCGGCCGGCCGGACATCAGCGAGCGGCTCATCAGCGCCTCCCTGTTTCTGCGCTTCCTCTGCCCGGCCATCATGTCACCCTCGCTCTTCAACCTGCTGCAGGAGTACCCCGATGACCGCACTGCCCGCACCCTCACCCTCATCGCCAAGGTTACCCAGAACCTGGCCAACTTCGCCAAGTGAGTGTTGTGTCCCCGACGGGCAGGAGCCCACGGGGGCAGGCCATGGGCGTGTCTTCCCAGGAGCTGGGCTGCGCAATGGGCCCTGCTTTTGTCCCCTCCACACCCCGTCCTCCCTCCCTACCAAAGGTACATGCCATTTTGGTATGTTTCCTTAATTTTCAGAGGTGAGAAGCCAAGATGTTTTTTCCTGCAGCATTTTCGAATGAACATTTAATCATAAGGATTCTCCCATGTGCTTAACAGCCATAAGCCTCATTTTGAAACGAACGACTAATATGCCTTCAGGGAGGAGGGCCCATATTTCCTAGCCCGGCCCCTGAGCCGGTCCGCGGGCTGTTTCACACTGTCCTTGTGTAATGCTGTCAAGAATGTCCTTGCTCGTCGAGCACGTCCGTGTTTGGACTATACCTTAGGGCAGTGATGGTGAACCTTTTGAGCTCGGCGTGTCAGCATTTTGAAAAACCCTAACTTAACTCTGGTGCCGTGTCACATATAGACATTTTTTGATATTTGCAACCGTAGTAAAACAAAGACTTATATTTTTGATATTTATTTTATATATTTAAATGCCATTTAACAAAGAAAAATCAACCAAAAAAATGAGTTCGCGTGTCACCTCTGACACGCGTGTCATGGTTTCGCTATCACTGCCTTAGAGCGCGGGGGCAGAAACGGGAGGGCTGGTCATCCAGTCGCCAGTTCCGGGCCCCTCTGTGCTGGGCTCGGAGTCACACCTGGTCCCAGCCCTTCGACAGGGGAGGGCGACAGAGGTGCATATGGTCTCTCAGGAGGGCCTTCAGCTTGCTGGGAGAGGAGACAGAGAGACTTCCCCAGACACGTGCCCCCAGCTGAACGATGGGAGCAGAGGCAGGGCAGCTCCTGGGAGGGCCGTGTGCTATAGGGACAAGGCACCCTGGCTTTCCTGAATCTCCAAGTGACAGGCAGGGAGAAGTGGGAGATGAGACCCAGGAGGACGCAGGGACCTGACGGCCAGGCGGGGCTTTAAGCATGGGGGGCGGAGGGGTGGCCCTTGTCTGTTCTGGGTCCTAAAAAGGTCAGCTTGACAGCAGTGGGGAGGGGGTTGGAGGGAGTGGGACTGGCACCTGAGAGACCTCAGCAGAGCACAGCTGTGTTTCTGGCAAAAGGGAATTGGGGTTTGGAGAGGTGATGCAGGAGGCAGGGGCTGCAAGGTCAACGGGCGATGAGAAGACAAAGTCAGGGGCCTTGCCGGTGGGAGGGCGGAGATGACGGGACAGGCTCTGGCTCGGCTCTCTGGTGGACCTGGGTTTCCACTTGGGACAGGGAGTCTGGAAGGAGGGCATGGGCTTGGGGTGACGGTGATGACTTCAGACTTGGCCAGGCTGGGTGCGAGGGGAGTTGCTATGGACACACGTCTGCAGGCTCAGCGGAGAGGCCTGGCCGAGCATAGATTGGGAATCATCTGCCCACCAGGCCTTGGAAACCTGGAGGGAGAGAGGAAGGAGATTGTGACCGGCAGTGAAAGGGGAACGAGGGCCACAGAACATTCCAGGTCCTGCGAGAAGGGGTCCTCAGGGTCCCTGAGGAACGAGGGCCCTGAGTCATATAGCAGATCGGCTGGCTGGTGGATTAGTGGCCACAGTGGGTGAGGAGGGATGGGAGCTGAGGGCGGGTATCTCCGAGAAGGAGGGTTTCTGGGTGAGCATGGCTTTCAGGCCGTCCGCGGACCTGGGTCGCTCACCCCACCTGCTCTCCCTCCAGGTTTGGCAGCAAAGAGGAGTACATGTCGTTCATGAACCAGTTCCTGGAGCACGAGTGGACCAACATGCAGCGCTTCCTGCTGGAGATCTCCAACCCGGAGACCATCTCCAACACTGCCGGCTTCGAGGGCTACATCGACCTGGGCCGCGAGCTGTCCAGCCTGCACGCGCTGCTCTGGGAGGCCGTCAGCCAGCTGGAGCAGGTGCCTGTCCTGTCCCTCGGGCAGGGTGCGGGCAGAGGGCTCTCCTGTGGGTGCAGATCAGTAGCCTGCCCCGGTGCTGGGCTCACACCTCCCACTCAGCCCGAGGCACATGCTGGGATCACTGGGGCCCGCTTCCCTGGTGGGGGTGCCGTGCTCGCTCGCCAGCACCTGCGGGCCGGGCGCCCGTCCTGGGTACTGGGGCTTTGGCTGTGTCTCTGTACACTCGGCGCTGAGTGGGCAGATTCCACGTATGAAGGTGTGTTTCCTACCCGTGAGAAATGTGATCAGATTGAGCTCTTTCTGTGAAAATGTCCTTGTTCTGGGTTTTAAGGGCACCATAAGAAAAAGACCAAGTATGCTCCGCTATACCTTCAAGCACCAGGCAGGAAGTTACAAACCTTCCCACAAACCTTTCCACAAACCTTCCCACAATTGCCCTTGGCCGTCAAGTCAGTTGAAATGGTTGTTGCCCAGAAATCCCTGAGATGGCTGCAGCCACCGGCGTGTGCTCTCTGCCACCCGCGGCTCCCTGCCCCGCCCCCAGCAGCTCTGCCCACAGTGGACAGGTTGTTGGCAGCAAGGGCTATACCTGCCACCGTCGACCTCCAGGATATTTGTTGCTTCCTGGGGCTCCGAGAGACCCCCTTACAAAAGCAGTTCCTGCTGCACCAGGGCTGGGAGGCTCCTGCTCCTGTTCTGTTTCCCGCAGGGGACCACGCAGGGCGCTCAGGGCTGCAGCCTCTGGATCCACGTGTGTTAGGTGCACACGCAAGCACAGAGCTCTTTTCCTGGTTGGAGTGTGCTAAAGGGAGAACGTAGGTGTGCACTGCAGTGTGTGTGTCTCACACTCTGTGTGGACGTCTGCTCCGCGGCTCCCTGCCCTCTGTTGCCGGGCACTCGGGTTAGTCCAGCTTTTCACCAACAGATGCTGATGCAGTCGTTTCTGCTCAGCCTTGTCCACTGCCCTTTGGCTGCGAGAGACACGGAGGGGAATGGGAACCAAGGCCAGTCACCCCAGTGCCTCCACTTCCTGAGCCCCCGTGCCGGCCCCATATCTGCACGTGGTCAGCAGCCATCACAGCTGGCGGTGCTGTAGCAGGACTGAAACGGAGCGCTCTGCCTCCCGAGGCTCTGCTCTGTTCACATGTTCTTTCTGTGCAAAGTCCTACCTGGAAGCCAGCTGCTAAGCAGGTGAAGGCAGGTCCCCTTCCCTCCGCTCGGCCCACAGCCGGCATCCTTAGCACCGTCGATCTTAACCATGGCAGTGAGGTGCTGCCTCTGCCTGGCCCTCCACTTGTTAATCCCACCATTGCCTGCTCTGTGCCTGGACCATGTCCCCTGGGCCTCAGGTATCGATGGGTCAGGCCCCACCCACCCTCTGGAGGAGGTGATGTGGGAGGGGCTGTCCCAGAAGCCTCTCAGATGGGGAGGTGTGGGTGCGAAAAGTTCTGGATTCCTCGTGGATTTTCCTCCCCGGAGGCAAAGGTAGGATGAACTTGGGTCAAAGGCTAGGACTGGTTCAGCACTTCTCCTTGTGGGCCTCACACCTTCATCTCAGAAATATTTGGGATGCTGGTAAATATGTAATTTTCACTGTCCTTGGCTCCTCCCCCATCCCCCCCACCTCCCCCGCCAACCTCCGACCCGCTGGATCTGACTGGTAGGAGAGAGGTCTGCATTTCTGCCTGATGCCTCAGGAGTTTTAAACCACCATGGCTGCAGCTAGCTCACGTGGCCTCTCCAGGTGGCCCCAGCAGGTCACATCTGCCTCTTCGTGTGTCCACAGAGCATCGTATCCAAACTGGGGCCCCTGCCTCGAATCCTGAGGGACGTCCACACGGCACTGAGCACCCCGGGCAGTGGGCAGCTCCCAGGGACAAATGACCTGGCCTCCACGCCTGGCTCTGGCAGCAGCAGCATCTCGGCCGGGCTGCAGAAGATGGTGATCGAGAATGACCTCTCTGGGTAAGAGCCCTGGTGTGCTGGGCGTTGTGGGGTACACGTGCAAAGTGCAACCCACCTGCATGCAGTCTCAGCTGGGCAGGAGGAGGCCTGGAAATGTGTTGTGCAGGCCCTCAGTAGTGAGCCTCCATTTAGGAAAAATCCGGGAAGGCTGCCTGGATGAGGTGGTGCTGTAGTTTTGAGCATTTTCATTGATGGAAAAAGCATTCTGGGTAGAGGGCCTAACACAAAGGCAACAATGTTCTGTCGAAGAACAATTTATTGGTCCCAAATACCTCCAGGTCGTCTAGGTGTGTTAAACATACCAGTTCTCCTGGTATTTGCTAGGCCCAGTCGGAATCTCCAAAAGTGGTGCGCACGGTTGTGTGTTCAGCAGGAGTTTGGGTAACTACGAGGCTTTGAGGCTGGGAGCTCAGGCCTGACCTTCACTCTAAGCCCTCAGCCCTGGGGCAAATGCACACTTGGTGGAGGCAGAGGGACACGTTCTCTAATATTGACATCAAAATGAGGCTATTCCTTTAAAACAGAGGCGTTTATTGACCCCTCTGTGCCTCCCTCGTACACTCCCCTCCCTACCAGGGGCCGCTTGGGCCAGCTGGTGAGGATGTGGCTGGGCCAGCAGAGTTGGGAGCAGGTCTCCCCTGAAGGTGGTGGCAATGGCGGGCTTTTAAGTGGAGGAGGGTGTGGGGCACAGGACTGGAGGCCAGATGCCACCTCTCAGGTCCCTCTGAGTCTTGGGGTTCATTTATACAACCTGCCTGTGAGGCAAGTCTTTGTTCAGGTGGGCACACAGCTTAGCTGAGAGATGGCCGGATGCATGGCTTTGAGGAGACCTGACCAGGTGGCTGCTGGTGCGGGTTTCTCCCAGCTCCACTGCCGCCTCGGTCACGTCTTCTCAGCCCACAAGGGCTGTCAAGTGGTCACAGCCTGCCCTGCCGAAGCCCACCAGTTGGCGCTTCCTCTCTCCGTTTCAGGCTAAGCCAACTCTTACTCCCCTTCCAAGCTCATGTCAAACCCTAAAGTCCTTGCTGCCGCCAGCCCCCTCAGAGCCCTTTTCACCCCCACGGCCTTCCCTCCCAAGCCTGGCTGGCCCCACTCCATTGTGCCGTCCTCCACGGGGCCACATTCGGGGAGGGCACAGCCTGCCACTGCAGGGGCAGTCCCTCCGCGCGTGAGTCATGCCTGGAGGATCCTCCTCTGATTCCGTGTTTTTAGCAGGAGCGCCAGCCCCCGCCTGCCTGTCAGTCAGGGGGTGTGGCAGCAGGAGGCTGGGCAGGGGAGGCTTCAGCAGGCCCCCACCTTGGTTCTCAGGCTGATCAGGAACAAGAGGAAGAGGCAGAGAGAGCCCTAGTGGCTTTGACGTCGGCTTCCTCTGTGCAGGACCCTGGGGAGCAGAGAGCCACTGCGTTGTGGGATGGGGTTCAGCTAAGGGAAATTTCCAGAACGCCCTGGCATAGGTTCTGTGCAGGAGCGGCCACCTCGGCCAGCCAGTCCACAGTGGCTTCCGCTGGGGTCGGCTGCCCAGGCTGTGCGTTTTGCGTCTGGGCCCCAGGACTCTCCGATTCTTGCTGCCCCAGCACCTCCTTTCCCTGCCCCCGCCCCCTCCTCCCCCAGCCTTGGCTCCGGCCGCCAGGCCCGGCAGCTTGGCGGGGGCTCTCGGTTCGGACCCGCCTTGGCCGCACTCACAGTTCTTCTCTTCCCCCTTCTTTCCCTGTGTGTGCTTGTCTCCCTGCAGTCTGATAGATTTCACCCGGTTACCGTCTCCAACCCCCGAAAACAAGGACTTGTTTTTTGTCACAAGGTCCTCCGGGGTCCAGCCATCACCTGCCCGCAGCTCGAGTTACTCGGAAGCCAACGAGCCTGATCTTCAGATGGCCAACGGTGGCAAGAGCCTGTCCATGGTGGACCTCCAAGACGCCCGCACGCTGGATGGGGAGGCGGGCTCCCCAGCGGGCCCCGACGCTCTCACCACCGATGGGCAGATGCCTGCAGCTCAGCTGGTGGCTGGGTGGCCAGCCCGGGCAGCCCCCGTGAGCCTGGCAGGGCTGGCCACAGTGCGGCGGGCAGGCCAGACGCCAACCACACCGGGCACCTCCGAGGGAGCACCAGGCCGGCCCCAGCTGTTGGCACCGCTCTCTTTCCAGAACCCTGTGTACCAGATGGCGGCTGGCCTGCCGCTGTCGCCCCGCGGCCTTGGCGACTCCGGCTCCGAGGGCCACAGCTCCCTGAGCTCCCACAGCAACAGTGAGGAGCTGGCAGCCGCCGCCAAGCTGGGAAGTTTCAGCAGCGCCGCTGAGGAGCTCGGGCGGCGGCCGGGGGAACTGGCACGGCGGCAGATGTCACTGACTGAAAAGGGCGGGCAGCCCACGGTGCCACGGCAGAACAGTGCCGGCCCCCAGCGTCGGATCGACCAGCCGCCGCCCCCGCCCCCACCGCCACCTCCTGCACCCCGTGGCCGGACACCGCCCACCCTGCTGAGCACCCTGCAGTACCCTCGGCCCTCGAGCGGGACCCTGGCGTCGGCCTCACCCGACTGGGCTGGCCCCGGAGCCCGGCTGCGGCAGCAGTCCTCCTCTTCCAAGGGCGACAGCCCCGAGCTGAAGCCTCGAGCAGTGCACAAGCAGGTCAGTGTGCAGGTGGAGGGCAGGCGTGAGGGTGGTCCTCCCCGGGCCATGCTGCTCCTCCCGGTCATTTCATCTCCCCTCACCCAGCTGCCATCCCATGCTGATGATGCCACATTCAGCCCCAGCCCACCACATACACCTCTCCTCTCCCCCGGCCCTGCTGGCCTCTGCCTCAGTCCTGTGAACCAGGGACACTGCAGCCTCCAGGTCCCTCTGCCCCTTTCCCCTGAGACAGCTGGGGTCAGGGAGAGAGTGAGGGGTCAGACCATATTCAGTTCTAAGCCTGTTGACGCCCTGCCCAGGGTCGGACCTGACCTGTGACGTGCTCGGAGCTGGCCTCTAGAGCTCAGCTGCCACTCGTGCTTCCTGTCACCCAGGGGCTGCACGCAGTACATGGAACTGTCCTGCTTTGGGTAGAGCGCCTGGTCTTCCCGGGCCAGCTCCCCACTCTCACCTGGGCGCTTGACCCCGCCCCAGGCTGCCGGCTGGGAGCTGGAGCCGCCTCGGTCAGGCGCTGTTGCCTCAGTAGGTGCCCGGTCAGCTGAAGGTCCCTTCCCTTCTCCCGTGCCTCTGAGCCACCTGTTCTCGTGGCTCACCGGGTGCTACTCCCGCCTCCTACCCTCCCCCTGCCGCCCGCCAGCCCTCACAGCTGTGTTTCATTGTAGGGCCCTTCACCTGTGAGCCCCAATGCCCTGGACCGCACAGCTGCTTGGCTCTTGACCATGAACGCACAGTTGTTAGAAGACGAGGGACTGGGCCCAGATCCCCCCCACAGGGATAGGCTAAGGAGTAAGGAGGAGCTCAGCCAAGCAGAAAAGGTAACGCTGGACCCTGTCAGTTCGGGACAGGGAGGGGCTGCATCCCTTGGCAGCTGACAGGATTCTCCCCGCTCGAGACCTGAGTGAGGGGGCATTGCTTGCTCCTGCAAATGGCCAGGCCCCTCTCAACCCCTGGTTTCCTGTGAGGACAGCAGCCAGTGGGATCTGGAAGAGCAGCAGGAGGGTTTAGGTTAGACCTGAGGTTTCCCACACGGGCTGTGCGTGAGACTCAGCTGGGACTTGGGGGTTGAGGGTGCCAAAGAGGTGCATGGAGACCCTGAGGGAGCCTTGTGCATGTGGCGGGGGAGGCATGCGTCCCCGAGACAGCTGGGAGGGTGCCCCAGCCAGGCCCCCTCCACTCTGGGCTGTGCCTGCCCAAGGCCTGGCGCTTTCCCAGTCCCCTTCTCCTCCGGGGGAAAAAGTGGTTCTAAAATACCCACGTTCCGCCCACCACACACATCTGGCCCTTGGTGGGCAGTGGGCGCCTCCCATTCTCCCAGTGGTGTGATGGCTGCCCTGGATCCATGGCTGGTTCGAGGCCAGAGCCCAGGTCTACCCGTGCGAGGCCCCCAGGCAGCAGTCACTCCCCCTCTCACTCTCAGCCCCAGGAAAGCCCGTGGCAGCCTCAGGCAGGGCCGTGGAGTCAGGCGGCAGCTCCCTCTCTGGCCTAGGGCGAGGTCCATGTCCATGCTGCATGCCGCCCCCGCCCCGTGGCCCACCGCATCCACCTGCTTTCTCCATAATTCCGTGAGGGGGACATGGGGCACCGTGCTCCGAGAGCCACTGCTTGGCTGGGGGGCAAGGAGAGCCAGCCTCCCCCCCGAGGCTCCCTGCGTGGACCTGGGGCCAGGCTCCGTGCCTTTCTGAGGCTCAGACTTCCATGTATGAATTGCAAGGATGGCCGGAACGCTCCTCGGGCCAGGCTGGAGTGCCCCCTTCCTCGTTGTCCCTTGGCTGAATGAGCTGCTGCTTCTCTCACCCACTTTGCTACTAACCTTCGCAGGCAAATCCAGGCCTTTGTTCCTTGAGCTCCCTGGGGACCTGGTCCTGCCTCTGGCAGGCCCTCCCCTCACTCCTCTGGCCCGCTGAGCAGGGGGGGGCAGAAGGTCTGGGGTGGAGCCAGGCTCCCCTGGGGTCAGGCTTTGCTTCAAGGATTACATTGGAGGTGGATCTCTGGCTTTGCTGCCCTCTGACCTCGGGACAGTCCTTGACTGTTGAGAGAGTTGGGCTCCTCTTGCCAGACTCAAGCGGAGGCTCTTCCTGCCTCCCCCAGCCTGTGTTCTCACGGCACCTTGGCCCCAGCCCCCGACTCCGGCATCAGCCTGCCTTGCCCTCTGTCCAGCCCGCACAGCCTCCTAGCTTGCTGCTTCTCTTGCTGCCTTCCCATCCTTGACTCCCCCAAAGGCTGAGCGTGCTGCACCGAGTCAGATCCAGAAAGCCAGGCCACCTTGCCCTTAACATCCCCTTCCCCTTTCCCCCACCCCCTCACTTTCTCCCACCACACCTGGCTTTAGGGTCAGATAGAGGCTGGGAGGCTGGATCTTACCCCACTGGCCACGCTACTCATGTGACTCGGTCACTTGCCTTCAGAGCCTCAGTTTCCCCTCCTACAGAGCCCCCATCTCACAGGGAACTGTCAAATCTCCTTAACCGTTGTTTGCTATAAAAAGCTAAAGATCTTAATTTACTTCTGAGTCTTCATCCCATTCACAGCTGTAAGGTCAGACGAGGGGAGTGGGAGTTTGGAGTGGAGAGAGCCCCGGGTGGGGGCATCTCCTCACAGTGGGAAGTGAGCTGGGTTGGGGACAGTCCCCAGGTTAGTCCAACCTGGGTTCCCTCCCTCCCTGGGCGCCTGCTTGGGCTCACGCGGCTGTGCTCTCTGTCCTGGGTGCTGTGCTGTGGCGCGCTGCCCTCCTGGCAGGACCTGGCAGTGCTGCAGGACAAGTTACGAATCTCCACCAAAAAGCTGGAGGAGTATGAGACCCTGTTCAAGTGCCAGGAGGAGACGACGCAGAAGCTGGTGCTGGAGTACCAGGCGCGGCTGGAGGAGGGTGAGGAGCGGCTGCGGCGGCAGCAGGAGGACAAAGACATCCAGATGAAGGGCATCATCAGCAGGTGAGGAGTCCTGTTCCTACTCTGGGTCCAGTCCTGGCCCCACACAGCCCTCCAGGAGGCTCCGGGGAGGGGCTGACCAGCTGCAGGGTGAGTGGAGTGTGGAGACAGGAAGGCAGGAAGTGTCCCAGGGGGTGGGGACTGTGGCACAGGCCTAGAAGTAGAAGGTAGCCTGGAGTGTGGGAGCTCCACAGAGTACAGTGTGTGCTGACGGTAGAATGCAAGCCAGGCCTGGCAGAAGTGAGGTCAGCCGAGGCCAGCTCTGGGAGGACCTGTGGGCCCTGTATGGAGTCCCACTTCCTTGGTGAGCACTCGGGAGTGCAGAAGCCAGATTGGAGGTGCCAAGACAGACAATGAGGACCCAGTTCAGGGCAGGAAAAATAGGAATGAACGTCAGTTACTTTCTGTGGCTGAAGGTGGGAGGTGAGAGGGAGGAAGGAGACAGAATAATCCCCAGACTTTTCTACCAAGAGCATCTGGGTGTGTCGTTGTGCTAATTACTGAGATGGGGAACTTTGAAAGAGCAGCAGTTCAGGTGGGGAGAGAGGGGGATGGTGATGACACCAGTGTTGGATGTGTTGGGTTTTAAGGTGCCTATGGGGGTCATACAGGAAGATTTCGGGGGAGGGGGATGGGTGTTAATTCTGACTCATCTTTATTGATGGTTTATATCAGATTCTGTGTTGATTTCCCCCCCCCTCCCTACTCTTGAGTAGGGTGGGAGCACCTTTGTGTCTGTGGGCAGGGAGTGCAAAGTGTAGCATCCAGGCCAACCCACAGAGTCCCAGTCCTGGAGTTGACTTTATTATGACAGTAATACCAGGTACAAGAGCCTGTCATCTGGACACATTTCACAGGAGTGCAGTAGCCAGGATGTTCCCCAGCACACCGGGCTTCATGCTAAATTTATTCACTACAAAAACCCTTCCCAAATCCCTCCTATTTAGATGACCTGTTTTTCTGCTCCTAATTATTGTTTCATTTACCTCTGGGTTTGTTCATTGGAAAATGGTTAGCGTGAGCAGAGGGCCTGTAACCAGGGTCACAGAAACCCACTGTCCACTTGACTGCCAGCTCTGCTCTTTGCTCTCTCCACATGTGTGGTCACAAAAATGGAAGCACTTTCCTCCTAACCACCTCCTCTTTGTGTCTGTTCGCTCAGAGGTGCATGCTTTCCTGAATTCAGTGGCTTATTTAACACATTTATCTCTACTAACCAATCCTGGCATATTTCCTCCCTAATGTAAGTGTCAGTTAGGTTGATCGTGTTGTTCAAGTCTTCTGTATCCTTACTAGCTTTTCCGCTTGTTCTGTCAATTACTGGGAAAAGGATGTTGAATTTTCTAATCATAATTATGGGTTTGTCTATTTCTCCTTTTATTTCTGTTGGTTTTTGCTTTACGTACACTGAAACACTATTCCTAGATGTATACATATTTAGGATTGTTATGTACTTTTTTTTTTTTAAATATATTTTATTGGTTTTTTACAGAGAGGAAGGGAGAGAGATAGAGAGTTAGAAACATCGATGGGAGAGAAACATCGATCAGCTGCCTCCTGTACATCTCCTACTGGGGATATGCCCGCAACCCAGGTACATGCCCTTGACCGGAATCGAACCTGGGACCTTTCAGTCCGCAGGCCGACACTCTATCCACTGAGCCAAACCGGTTTCGGCTGTTATGTACTTTGATGAACTGACCTCTGTATTATAAAGTCATCCTCCTTAGCTCTCATAATATTCCTTGCTCTGAAATCATCTTTGATATTAATAAGGCTGCCAGAACTTAATTGTAATTATAGGATTAGCCTGGTATATCCCTTTCAATCCTTATACTTTTAACCCATCTTTGTGTTTCTATATAAAGTGAATTACTCTTACAGACATCTTACTGTTGGTTCTTGCTTTTTATTTGATAGTTTCTGCCTTTTAATTGAAGTGTTTAGACCATTTACATTTAATGTAATTGTCAATATAATTATGTTTAAACCTATTATCTTGCTACTTGTTTTCTATTTGGACTGTTTTATTCCCTTTTTCTGGCCCTCTTTTGTATTTTTTATGATTCCATTTTATCTCCTATTGGTTTATTAGCTAATCTCTTTGTGGTTGCTTTAGGACAGGAGTTAGAAATTTTCTGTTAAGGGGCAGGTGATAAATGTCTTCAGCTTTGCAGGCCATTTGGTGTCAGTTGCAACTATTCAACTCTGCTGTTACAGCAGAACTGTTTGTGTGGTGTGGCTGTTTACAAACACAGGCCGTAGGCCTGCTTTAACCTTCAGAATATACCAGGCTAATACTGGCTGTAATAATGGGCACTCTGTCATTATCTTTGTTCCTCTGTATTTAGCATACCTTTTTCCTCTGACTGTTTTTAAGATTTACTTACTTATCACTGATTAGTGTGGTTTTCTTCATGTTTCTTGGGTTTGTTGAGCTCTTGGGTCTGTGGGTACATAGTCATGCCTCCTCAGTTTGCTTTCTGGGACTCCCATTGCACATATGTTGGGCTGCTTTATATTGCCTCACTTCCCACTGATTCTATGTTGTTTCCATTCTTCTGTCTTTTATCTTAGATCATTTCTGTTGCTCTGTCTTCAAGTTCTCTAATCATTTCTTCTTCGGTGTCTAATCTGCTAAGTATTTTTTTTTATCAGCTATTATACTTTTGCCTCTAGACTTTGGTTTTAATCCCATATACTTCTCTTTACGTTCATGCTTTTCTATATTTTCTTGAACATGTGCAATATATTTATAATAGTTGTTTTAATGTCCTTGCCTACCGATTCTATCATCTGACATTTCTGAGTCTGTTTTTACTGATTAGTTTTCTTCCTTCCTGGTTATGGGTTATGTTTTTCTACTTCTCTGCATTTTTGGTTGGATGCCAGACATTGTGAATTTTACGTACGTGCTGGATGTTTTGTGTTCCTTTAAATATTTTGGGCTTTGTCCTGGGACACAATGAGGTTATCTGGAATCACTTTTGGATCTGTTGAGGCTCACATTTACACTTGTTGGGCGGGTCCTGGACAGCCTTCAATCGAGGCCCAATCTGGCAGTTTCTTTCTGGGGATCCCACTGGAGGCCTCCTGCGTTAACAACATCTTTCCACTGTGCTCGGAAGGAACGTGCACGATTCCTGGAGTGGTTTTGTGAACTTTCCAGTGGTTCTTGTCCCCGCCTGGCTTTTCTCACAGGCATGCAGACCAGTCCTCAGCCAAAGACCTAAGGGGACCCCTCAGGAGACAGGGGGCCCTCTCTCTGCATCTTCCTCCTGTCCGCACTGTCCTGTGAATCCCAGCGCCCCATCTCCTGCCCTCCATGGGTCTCCTCCATCCTTTTGTTTGGCCTGGACACTCCAGGCACTGGACGGGGCTCACACTGCATGTTCCTTTCTTGTAGGGATCACTGGACTGTGCTGCCAGTTATTTAGTATCTGGAAAACTTTGTTTTATATGTATTTTATCTGGTTTTATAGTTTTTTAGTTATTTTTTATGGCAGGAGAATAAATCTAGTCCCTGTTATTCCATCATAGCTGGAAACAGAAGTCTCCCCCAGTCTAATTTCCCTTCTAATGATGCCATCTACTGCCTTTCTTCTGCCTCCCGCCACCCCCTCTGGTAGGCTTTGTTCCATGACTGCCTTCCTGTGACAGGAACCCCCCACGTGGCCCCACACTCCTTTCTCCTGACTAGTGCTCCCGACCCATTGACTTCTCATGACAGCCCTGTGTGATGCCTGCCCAGCTCTGTTGACCTCCCTGTGCACCTACTGTGCGTGAGCTGAGTGCTCACCTAGGGGACGGGAGCTGCTGCTGGGCTGGGGAGGAAGCTGTGGGAGTGTATGAGCTCATCTGAGGAGTGTTTGTAGAGCGAGAAGAACGGAGAGGAAGCAGAGCCCTGACATCCTAGGGGCAGCCAGGACATGGCATCTGCCAGCAGTGGCCTGGGAGCTGGCAGGGAGACCCAGAGAGTGTGGGCTTCAGAAGCCAAAGGAAGGGAGTTGGGAGGTAGGAGTGATGGGGAGTGATTGACAGTTGTGGGAGAGACCAGCAGGACGAAGCCGGGAAGGGTCTCAGGAAAGGAGCAGCTGGTGACAGACCCACATCTGCCTTAGCTCTGAGCCTCTGCAGATGGCATTCCTCCCGCCTTCTCTGCTTGTTTCCCACCCGCAGAACTTGTCCTTCAGATGTCCAGTTCCGTGTGTGCACCCCCTTCCCGCTCTGTCCCATGGCCCTGAGCTGCCCGTGCAGGGCGTAGCTACTGTCTGTCCGTGTCCCTGCGGCCTTATGAGTGCCTTGAGGGGAAGGACCACACTTCATTCATCTCGCTGCCACGTGTGCCCGGCACAGCCCCATGAGTGCAGAGGGAGGAGAGAGCTCTGGAGTCCTCCAGGGTCTCTGTCTCCCACCCAGACCACGTTCCCATGACCTCATAACACCTGCCACGCTCTGGAGGATGGGGAGGACCGATCACCCACGCCCACCCCCCGGAAGAACATCAGGAAAGGGGCAGCCCCAGGGGCTTCTGGGGAATTGGAAGTGGAATTGGGGGAAAGTCTAGGAAGGAATAGGTCCAGCCCACATTGTGGCCAGGGGCCAGCCGGAGGCCCTCTGTCCCAGGCACATGTCTCCTCGGCCACAGGCCCACACCCACCTCCTCATCTGCTCCCTCACGTGCCGACTGTCCTTACCTCTGGCCACAGGTTGATGTCAGTGGAGGAGGAGCTGAAGAAGGACCACGCAGAGATGCAAGCAGCTGTAGACTCCAAACAGAAGATCATCGATGCCCAGGTGGGGGGCTCTGGCCCTTTGGTCGGCCACAGGTGGTAAAGGACCTAGGATAAGGGGGGTGACTTTGGCTTCTCCATATCCTTAGTCATACCCCACTGCAAAAGCTGCAGAGGAATAGGAGAACAGATCCTTGCCCTGAGAAGTCAGACTTGAGGGTCTCAGTGGACCACAGCTCACTAGGACAGGTTGTGAAAGGGTAGGGCAACTCCTCCCCCCTGGGGCAACATGGTAGGTATTGCCTTTCACCAGGGGTGCTAACCAAAGAGTGGATCTATTGGGAGGCAAATGGGGAAGTCTGGAGGTGGCACAGGGAGTGGGAGGGGCTCCGTTCAGAGCTGTGACTTTCCAACTGCATTGAGAGGAGAGACATGTTAGAGGTTTTTGGCCTCCTTCCCCCAGGCCTGTTCCCTTTTCCTCTCAAGCGCCCAGAAATAGGGCCAGTCCTTGCAGACTGTAAACTGCACACAGGACCAGGAGCTGTGAGCTCTGCATGTCACGCATAGGCACAGGGCACCGGGCCTCGGGCGGCTGATGGATGACACTAGAGCTGCTCTGTTGAGGATGAGAGGCAGGCGATGTGGTCGGCGTTAGAAAGGCAGACTCCAGGAGGTCGTGGCCCATGACGGCAAGGCCGCCCTGCCCCACTCGCCCACTGCTCCACGGGCCTCTCCTCCAGGCCACATTCCTCCCCGCCAGCATTCCTGCAGGCGCACACAGCCCCAAGGAGATGCTTCCCCTCCGTGACCCCATCTCACGCCCTCTTTGTCCACAGGAGAAGCGCATCGCCTCCCTGGACGCCGCCAACGCCCGCCTCATGAGCGCCCTGACACAGCTGAAAGAGAGGTACAGCATGCAGGCCCGTAACGGCATCTCCCCCACCAACCCCACCAAATTGCAGATTACCGAGAACGGCGAGTTCAGAAACAGCAGCAATTGCTAACCTGCCCGAGGAGAGGGAGGACTGTGGTGGCCCAGGGCCGGGCCTCGGCCTGGGGAGGAGCACCCCACAGTTGCAGCCCCAGCGCGGGGGGTGAGAGGCCGAGGCTCGTCTCCCGTGCCCTCCGTCCACGGTCCCGGAGGCGGCCACAGAGGGAGCCGAGAGAGACTGACGCAGCGGGAGCCCCTCTCTCTTCTGCCCAAGAAGCGTGTTGGGTTCAGGCGAAGAGACTGCACGCGGGGAGTGGGACAGCCTGGCGGGAGCGGGGGCAGCCAGAATCTGTCTCTGTTGGTTATTGAATTTGGTGTGTGTCACCTTTCCTTCTTGACCTGACCAAGTGCATGTACTCCTCGTGCTCCCCAAGGAGGGAGCTGCCCAGAGGGGCGGGGGGGTTAAAGAGATGGGGCCCAGGCTCCCTGGCAGCCAGGCCCCTCCCTGTGGGCCCTGCCCTGCAGTTTCAGGAGCTGACAAGTGGGGGGCAGGGCGGGGGGGGAGGATGGAGCTGCCTGAGGTCCGTGTCCCCTGCCCGGCTCTGAGCACCTGCCACTGCATGCAGCCTGTCGGGGACCCTGCTGTGAGGAACCGAGGATCACCCAGACCTGTCCCCACATTCCCGCCGCCTCCTTCCTCCCTCCCTCATTCTGCCAAAAAGACCCAGGGAGGCTCCGTCTGTCCTCTGGACCCTCGCACCTGCGGGCCTTTGCCCCGCATCAGAGCCTCCGCCCGGGCCAGTGTCTGGGGCTCCCAAAGCCAAAGACCTGGGCAGCATTGGCCCAGCAGCACTGCTTGCCCTCCTGTGGCCCTGCAGGGAGTGGCCGCTGGGGCCCATCCTGAGAGAAAGGCTGAGCTCTAGGGTGAAGAATTCTAATGCCCACACCCTGGGCAGGCGGATAACTGTGGTTTCTTTTCCTTTCGCAGTATGCATTAGAAACAAAAGCCCGCTCGCTCGCTGGAACACAGGGGCCTTTTAAATTGAGCGTGCGCACTGCATGGGAAATAGCGGCCCTGGAGGATGTTAGACTTGCTCCCTCTCCAAGACAGCAGCGGCCTGCACCCGGCCCGTGTGCGGCCGCCGCCTCCTCACCCTTCCCGGGGCCCCCAGCCAAGGACCAGGCGCCGCAGACAGGGAAGGGGCACACCCCACAGCTGGGCCGGTTTTCCTCAGCTCCAGGCTGTTCTGTAGCTTGTCAGCCTGCGCCCCCACGTGCGGGACATAGGTGGGCAGGAGCGTGGGTCTCTCTGGGCCCCTCCCTGTTCCCAGCCCCCGCCCTGGATACAAAAGTTGGGCCTTTGCCCCGCAGCAGAGACGGGCTGAGCCAGGGCCAGCCCTCGGCCTCAGCCTCAGGAAGCGAGGAGACCCTTGGAAAGAGCGCCGAGCCCTTCCTGCCCCAGGGGCTGGAGACGTGGTGCCAGGGCTGGGGTTGCCACAGAGCCCACCAGGAGGGCGAGAGGGGGAGGGGTGGCCCAGACCTCACTGAACCCCGTCCTGGGCCTGGACCATGCTCAGGGAATGGGCGCTAAGACGAAACCTGCAGTACAGTCAGGCCAGGGACACGCTGGTGGGCGAGGGCAGACCCCCAGGGTCACAGACCTCAGGAGGGAAGGCCGTGGGGTCTCACAGGCGGGGCCTGGCCCCGGTGATGTCCTCTGGTTCCGTTTCGTCCGCCCAGTGAGCCCCCCCAACCCCCCCACCTGACTCTCCGCCCACCGATGCCTCGTAGAGCGACCTCGGACTGAGCGCCTCTTAGCAATACGGGGGAGGTCCCAGGGCCCGCAGCAGGCGCAGGAGGCCAGCGTGGTGGCCGGTGCTGGCGGCCTTGGCTGGGCTGTGAGCTCTCAGGCCAAAACCTTACTTACCTAGTGCAAAAACTGTAAACGTGTACAGACTCCAGATTTTTATCTGAATTGCAAGTCTGACCATTTTTGTAAATGTTCTTGGTGTTTGACTGTAATGTAACTATTTCACCTAACGGTTGTACATAGTCCTCTAGTCCTGGTGCTGCCAAGGGCTGCCCGGGACCGCTGCTCCCCGATGGTTTGTATTTTATATTTTAGAGAACAGTATTGGGCAGGAGGAAGACGCTTGGGATTTGGGTGCTGGGGTCTCCCCCCCTGCCCGTGGCATTAATTTGTTTGCTTTGCAGTGTGCTGTCTGGGTGGGGGTGATGGGCACATGCGCCCTGGCTGGGCCACACAGAACCCACGTCATGGTGCTGGACGGCCTGCAGACAGAGGGCCCGCAGGGCGGGGGTGAGGGGAGGACCACGGTCCCAGCCCAGACCCTACGGGAGACCTTCTCCTCTGCTTTGCCAACAGAGGCGCCTATTTGGTGAACTTTTATGTTTAGGGTGAAGGAAACTGCCAAACTTCCTATAAGTGAAGACTTTTTCCAACTGCCCGATAAGGGGGTGGGGAACCGAGGCCAGAGCTCTCCCCTCCCCCACAGAGCATCTGCCAGATGCACCTCTCCCTCCCACCCGTCCGTCTGCGAAAGGCAGACTGTCCAGGGAAACAGCCCCTCTCTTTTCTACACTCGCCCCCCCCAAGCCGCCCGGCTCCCCACCTCCCTGCCCCCCTTTTGTAAGTATGTGAAAAGGACAAAACTACAAACGTGGAGTCTCGGCCGGAGCCCCTCCAGCTGTGACTTTTAACGATGTAATAATGTACAGAGAAAGTTGTTGGTGTTCTAAGACTGTGTGGCTGTGCAATTTCTGTACATTTGCAATTAGAAATATTAAAGATTTATTTAGCTATTTTAAGCCTGGCTCGCCTCTCCATTCAGCTGTGTCTCGGGAGATTTTGTGGGGGTGACCCTTGAGTCATGGGCTGATGTTGCCCCCCTGTGCCAGCACTTGGTTCACCTGGTGGCACTGCACACAGGGAAGGCCCCTCAAGCCGATGGCAGTGGTGGTCTCAGCTCCCTGAGTGAGCCGGTGTCCCCTCCTCCAGGCAGTGGAGCAGGTGGGCTGTAAGCTCCCCCATGGCTCAGCCAGCTTGGAAGTGAGGTCTTTGCTGGTCCCAGGGTCTCCTGGGAGAAGGGCCCACACTTGCCCTGCAGCAGACACCAGCTCCTGCCCAGCTCTGCTTCAGATGCTGTCCCACCTGCTTAAGTCTGCCTCCAGGAGGGGACAGGCCCATCAAGGGGAAGAGGTTGGCCTAGGTCAAGCAAGTCATGGCAAAGTTGGACGGAACCCAACCTTCCAATGTCTGGAAGGTTCCAACTCATAAGGCTCTCCCAAGCCCCCCACCTGCAAGACCGAACCCAAGGCGTCCACTGTGAACAAACTGGCCCACAAACCCCTTCAGCTGCACCTGTGCACAGCAGCCCTTGCAGCCCTGGGTCCCACTGAGCAGGTCCCAGGCACCACGCAACAACCACTAAGGGTCAGTGCATCCCCTTTGCACATATGGGGAGACTGGCTCAGAGGGGGCAAGTCCAGGCCCAGCCCCTGCCCATCTCAGCCTGGCACACAAGGCCAAGGTTCTGCAGGGGCAGGGCTGCATTTGGCCAAATCACCAGATAGACACCCTGGCCTGTCCCCTGCACAGGTGTCTCGGCTCCTGCCAGGGCTGTGGGCCCCAGCTGTGCAGCATTTCCACAGAAGCCCCAGGGCTGCTCCAGTAGGAGGGCTGGTTCAGGGGTGGGGTGGAAGGGTGCAGCAGAGCCACCGGCTGCTGTCCACCCTCTCGCCAGCCTGACCCCCAGGGCCCCTTGTCTGAGCCCTGGGGTAGCTCCAAACCCTTGTGGATCTATTGGGGGGGGGGGGGGGCGCTGCATCCTGCTCTCCCAACCCATGCCCCTCAGGGCTTAGCTATAAGACATCTTAAGCCCCCACCCCTGCCTCACACTGCCATCTGACTGTGCCCTTGCCCCCATCAGCCTGGGTGACAGCCACCTGCTCAGCACCCTGGCCTCTCAGGCTCTCAACCTCGTCTCCTCTGTCACACCCTCCCTGTCACCTCCCACATTGTAGGCCTCTTTCCTCCCAGGCTCCCTGTGTTTCTTCTGCTTCCCCTCCAGGCTTAGCCCTGCGTCTCCCTCCTCGGCCCCTCTTCTGACCAGATGCTCTGACCATATCAGCCCTGGGTCCACCAATGGCCCCTACTCTCTGGGCGGCTGAGACCTGCAGGACAAAAGCACCCGGCTCCTCATCCCCTGTGGATGCCTGCCCCCTTCCCCGCTCAGCTCTGCTCCCATTCACCACACCGGGATGTGAAAGCAAACAGGAGAGGAGGTGATCCTCTTCCCAAGGCAGCTGCTGGCCAGGCCCTACCCTCTCGCCCCTGCTGCCTTCGTTATTCCTAACCCTTTGCCCCTGCTGCCTTCGTTATTCCTAACCCTCCGCCCCTGCTGCCTTCGTTATTCCTAACCCTTCACCCCCTGCTGCCTCGCCCCTGCTGCCTTCGTTATTCCCAACCCTTCACCCCTGCTGCCTTCGTTATTCCCAACCCTTCGCCCGCCCCTTGCTGCCTTCGTTATTCCTAACCCTTCGCCCCTGCTGCCTTCGTTATTCCTAACCCTTCGCCCCTGCTGCCTTCGTTATTCCCAACCCTTCGCCCCTGCTGCCGTTATTCCTAACCCTTCGCCCCTGCTGCCTTCGTTATTCCCAACCAGTCACCCCTGCTGCCTTCGTTATTCCCAACCCTTCGCCCCTGCTGCCTTCATTATTCCCAACCCTTCGCCCCTGCTGCCTTCGTTGTTCCCAACCCTTCGCCCCTGCTGCCTTCGTTATTCCTAACCCTTCGCCCCTGCTGCCTTCGTTATTCCCAACCCTTCGCCCCTGCTGCCTTCGTTATTCCTAACCCTTCGCCCCTGCTGCCTTCGTTATTCCCAACCAGTCACCCCTGCTGCCTTCGTTATTCCCAACCCTTCGCCCCTGCTGCCTTCATTATTCCCAACCCTTCGCCCCTGCTGCCTTCGTTGTTCCCAACCCTTCACCCCTGCTGCCTTTGTTATTCCTAACCCTCCGGCCTCACTGTTCTCCATGTGCTGGGCTTCCACCTGCTCCGAGCTGGGTCTCCTTCCCTCCCCTTCTTTAGCTGGAACTGCCTCCAGGAACCTGCCCTCTCTGCCTCCTCACCTCCTGTTCTTCCCCAGCGCACCAGCGCCTCATCGCCAAAACCATGGCCCCCGCAGCGCTCTGCACTACTGTCCCCAGTCCCCACAATCAGGGCCTGCCATCGCTCTGCTGGGTCGGCCCCATACAAAGTAGAATTCAAGGGAAAAAATCTCTGGGACACAGCAAAAGCAGTCCTGAGAGGGAAGTTCATAGCACTGCAGGCCTACCTCAAAAACAAGAAAAATTAATAATAAACTATATAACCCTACCACTCAAAGAATTAGAAAGAGAACCACAAGAAAAGCCCAGAGTAAGTAGAAGGAAGGAAATAATAAAGATTCGAGCAGAAATAAATTACGCAGAGACTAAAAAAGCAATACAACTGATCGATGAAACCGAAAGCTGGTTCTTTGAAAAGATAAATAAAATTGATGAACTGTTAGCCAGACTCATCAAGAAACAAAGAGAGAAGACCAAAATAAATAAAGTCAGAAACAAAAGTGGAGAAGTAATCACTGACCCCACAGAAAGATTGTAAGAAAATACTATGAACAACTCTATGCCAATGAGCTGGACAATGGGGGTGAAATGGACAAATTCCTAGAAAAATATAATCTCCCAAAACTGAATCAGGAAGAATCAGAAAACCTGAATAGGCCAATAACAACTGATGAAATAGAAGCAATAATAATAATATAAAAAACTTCCAGCAAACAAAAGCCCGGGTCTGGATGGCTTCACAGAGGAGTTTTACCAAACATTCAAAGAAGAACTAACACCTATCTATACTCCTCAAACTATTCAAAAAAATCCAAGAGGAAGGATTACTTCCAAGATCTTTTTATGAGGCCAGCATTATCCTAATTCCAAAACCAGATAATGACACTACAAAGAAAGAGAATTACAGGCCAATATCTCTGATGAACATAGGTGCAAAAATCCTCATCAAAATATTAACAAATCAGATCCAGCAATATATTAAAAAGGTCATACAACATGACCAAGTGGGATTTATTCCAGGGATGCAAATCAATAAATGTGATACATCATATAAACAAAGACAAAAATCACGTGATCATATCAATAGACGCAGATAAAGCATTTGACAAAATCCAATACCCATTTTTTAAAATATATATATTTTAAATTGATTTTAGAGAGGAAGGCAGAGGGAGAGATAGAAACATCAGCGAGAGAATCATCGATCGGCTGCTTCCTGCACGCCCCCCCACTCCCCACTGGGGATTGAGGCCACAGCCCAGTCATGTGCCCTTGACCAGAATCAAACCCAGGACACTTCACAGGCTTATGCTCCATCCACAGAGCCAAACCAGCCAGGGCAATCCAACACCCATTTTTGATAAAAACTCACAGCAAAGTGGGAATAGAGGCTGCATATCTCCAAGATAAAGGCCATATATGACAAACCTTCAGCCAACATCATACTCAATGGGCAAAAACTGAAACCATTTCCCCTAAGAACAGGAACAAGACAACAATGTTCGATTTCACCACTATTATTCAACACTAGAGCCCCAGTGCATGAAATTTATGCATGGGGGTGGGGGGGGTCTTTCAGCCTGGCCTGCACCCTCTTGCAATCCGGGACCCCTTGGGGGATGTCCAACTGCTGGCCTGCCTGCCTGATTGCCCCTAACCACTCTGCCTGCCTGCCTCATCACCCCTAACCACTCGCCTGCCTGCTTGATCGCCCCAACCACTCTGCCTGCCAGCCTGATTGCCCCTAACCTCTCTGCCTGCCTGCCTAATCGCCCCTAACTGCCTCTGCCTGCCTGCCTGCCTGATTGACCCTAACCACTCTGCCTGCCTGATGCCCCTAACTGCTTGCCCCTCACTGCTCATCTGTCTGCCTGATCGCCCCTAACCACTCTTCCTGCCTGATCGCCCCTAACCACTAACCTGCCTACCTGATCGCCCCTGACCACTCTGCCTGCCTGCCTGATCATCCCTAACCTCTCGCCTGCCTGCCTGATCACCTCTAACCACTCTGCATGCCTGATGCCCCTAACTGCTCGCCTGCTTGCCTGATCGTCCCTAACTGCTTCTGTCTCAGCCCCTGCCACCATGGCTTTGTCCGGAAGGTCATTCAGCTGTACAGTCTAATTAGCATGTTACACTTTTATTATTATAGATAGTACTGGAAGTCCTAGCCACAGTGATCAGACAAGAAGAAGTAAAAGGCATCCAAATTGGAAAAAAGAAAGTAAACTCTCATTATTTTCAGATGACATGATATTGTACATAGAAAACCCTAAAGACTCCACCAAAAAACTACTAGATTTAATAAATGAGTTTGGTAAGGTAGCAGGATACAAAATCAACACCCAAAAATCAATGGCTTTTTTATACACCAATAATAAATTCTCAGAAAGAGAAACTAAACAAACAATCCCTTTTACCATTGCAACAAGAACGTTAAGATACTTAGGAATAAACTCAACCAAGGAGGTAAAAGACTTATACTCAGAAAACTACAGGATGTTGAAAAAAGAGATAAAGGAAGATATAAACAAGTGGAAAAATATACCATGTTCATGGATTGGTAGAATTAATATCGTTAAAATGTCCATACTACCCAAAACAATCTATAGATTCAATGCAATCCCTATTAAAATACCAACAGCATATTTCACATTTCTAGAACAAATACTCCAAAAATTTATATGGAACCAAAAAGT